GTACAAGCAGTTTTTACACATAAAGCCATTACGTGCTTAATGAAGCTACTTCGTCCAATTCCAGATCTTGGTCATTTTAAAGGTCATAGGGCATAAAGTCGACAACTTTATGCCTTTACATGCCATATGGGAACCTAACACCTTATTTTATCCATTAAGACTCCATTTAAGATCTTAAACTCATGCATGGTGCCATAACAACCATCAAGTTAGCATTTTTATGCTTTTAACATGCCAATGGAACTTAGATATAACATTTCTAGCCTCTGGAGTTGCTCAAACTCACAAGAGAGGATCCATGGACCAAAAATGGACTTATTACCAAACCCTAACTCAAACTAGTAGAAGGATAACCAAGGTTTGGACTTTTTACCTCCAAAAGCTCCCCCAATGAAGTAGATGCAAGATCTAGAAGCTCAACCATGTCCAAGACTTGATCACCACCTTCTCCTTCTTGCAAACCCACTAAAATGGCCACCAAAATCACTTATTAAGCTCAAGAATCACACTCTCTTGTAAACTAGGCTTTAAGGACGATAAGAGGCAATGGAGGCTGTTTAGGGTTAGGTCCAAATGGCATAAGAGTGTTTAAATAGGGTTCATGGACCAAATATTAAGGGTTTTGTCTTAAGCCACCTACACCCCGCGTACGCCTTAGTATGCCCTGCATACGTGGTGTATGTCCACATCCAAACCACCCTAGTACACTAAGCGTACACATATGTACACCCAACGTACATAGGGACCTCCTTTGAAAAAATAATTTCATTCCAAGGGTTAAAGGTTAAGTACCCGCATTCCGAATGTTACATATTTTATGAAAATAATATTTTGCAACATATCGAGAATTATTATGTCTAGGAAATAATAATAAAAAAGAACAAAAACTAGTTTAATATCATATGATAGGAATATAAATGTTATGTATAACTTTTTGGTCACTTAGAGCAACCATTTATTTAAGAAGTAACTAACTAGTTGTTGGTAAAGTAAAAAAGACCTGAACTTTTGTTTCCTAGATGGTGATGGCTGAATTTTGATAGGGATGACATGTGATTACTTTTTTTCCTTTCTTTATTCATTCATCCCATGCTTGTAAGAAGGTCTTACACTTCTATTTTATGTTTTTGACTTTATGCATACTTGCATGCATAAAAAAAGGGATAATTGGTTCTTTTGCTCATACTTTTGCTCACATTTTGCTCTCAAAATAGGTTGCCAAAACTATAGGTTTTGGAGCCCCTCTTTCCTTTCTTCTTCTTGTAAAATGGTGCTAGATATGAACGGTAATAAGTTGCTTCTCTTTAAGGCTTATTTGGTATGAACATTAAGGCTTAAGAAAAACTTAATACAAGTGATGACTAGCATGTTTGGTAGTTTATTCTTGCCTTGGTGGATATATTATAGCGGTTTCTTCTTGGAGTTATAATGCCATCTTCATCAAATTCCTAATTGCGAAAAGAAAACAAAGTCTTCAAAGATTGTAAACTTCTTCTTTTATTTGGTTAGTTTGTAATCTTTCTAAGCTTTGCAAAATGATCATTGGTAGATAAAGTAGTTTTAGTTTATTCAAATATAAAAATGATTTCGTTGCTAATTACGTCAACTTTGTCACTAAAATTAGACTATTTTTGAATAAAAACCCAACAAAAATACAAATCTAAAAAATGAGAAGGCAAGGGACAAAACATAGGAGAATGGGAGGGGGTATTTATAGCTGAATGTGACTTAGTGGAAACGAGACGTGATAAGGATCATTACCAAAATTAAATCCTTATTTAATTTCAAATCAAATCTTCTTCCATCTCCTTCCATAATTAGTAAAAATCGAAAATCATTAAGGATAAACCCTAATGAATTTTCGCCCCCCTCTCCTAGGGTTCTAGAATGTTCCTAATTATTTAACTTTTGAATATAACATTCAGTCCCTGTACTTTTAATTAATACCAAATTAATTCTAATTACTTCCAATTAATTCCAAATTAATCCAAACCAGTTTCTAATTAATTTATCAAGATATAACAATAAACTTTTTATTTCCCTCTCTTAAATTATTTTCTAACTCTTTTAACTCTTGAGGACAACCCTAAAATGATCTTGTTATTATTTCTAAAGTTATACTAATTAGTCATGACAATGAACACCTATTTCCAATATTTATTTATTTATTATTATTATTTAATTCAATAAATGGTACCCCATCTCAATCCCAACCCAATCCCTTAACTTACCCTCTTCCTTTATAATCCCAACCCAATCTTGAAAAACCCACCGGGAATCCAATTCGTAAAGCCAAAACTAAAAGGACGGCCAAAAGAACAATCGAAATTTGTCAAGTCGGTGATGACTTGGCTCGACTTTTGTTGGAGCTTTTAGTTTTGGAAAAAGGTGTCAGAAGTACTCATGAGAGATAGGGGAAGGGTTTATGGGAGGTGGCCGTGATAAATGAGGCTTGTATAGATAGAAAATTTACATCTAAATTCGTCGATTAAAAAACATGTGATTTAAGAGTTTATAGCTTGTATTTTTTTGACACTTTGGTTTATATTTTACTTATTTGGTTTGGCGCAAAATGGTCAGATCTAGTGATCTAACAGTTGAAACACTAATTTTAACGACCGAAAGACTACATAAAACCATAAATACTTGTGTATCAATTTTATAAATTTGGATTAAAACAGTAGAAATACCAATCACAAGTACCAAATATAATATATGATATGTTTTCTACGAGACCATATGATTACAAATATTATGTTAAATGTTTTAAGGCTATATGCACCCCTCATTACTAAGTTTACCCACAAACCCTTAATTAACATCTAATTACCCTTTAATATCGATCACATCAAAAGGGTTTTGACTTTCTTTTTTAATTTTAATTTTTTTTGTCATTTTGTTGTTTTTTTCTATGTAATTTATTATTATTAATATTATATAATTTTAATTAATATAATTTTTTTTATTGTTGCAAAATATCAAAAAGTATATTTTTTTCATGGGAAATCTGGTTTTAAACGTATATAAATCATTAAATCCGTACAATACTTGACTCGTTTTACCAAGAACAACCAATATATATATTCAAATCCACTTTTGAATGAAATTCCACATGAATTTCATCCATACATCGGACACGTTAATGATATAAAAGGAGATGGAAATTGTGGGTTTCAAGCTATTGCTCTTTCTCTTGGTCATAATGAAGAATATTGACATCATATTTGATCAGATTTATACAACAAGCTAATAACACACCTTGGAGACTACACAACGATTCATGGTGAATATTTTAACGCAATGGGTCATTCGTTGAATTTTAGTAGATCAAATTTTACGACATCTGAATATTGGTTGATTATGTTAGACATTGCTTTTCTTGTTGCTAACAAATATGGTGTATTGTTCATTATTTGAGCAAAGAAGGTTATACAATATGGTTCCCACTTTGGTATGTCCCGCAAGACATCCCAAATCATGTATTTGTTGTGATCGCCCATGTTTACGGTAACCATTATGTGATAGTTGATTTATAAGGAATGTATCTAATGCCTACCATTTTGTCATATTAGCGTACATACAGATTAAAACGTTCTACTGGATGAGAAACCCCGTTAGTATTAGATAAAATGATTATGTTCCGCATAATATGCATAATGCATCATACAATTGTTATGTAGAAACCGTTAGAATATTCGATGATTAATAAACTTATTATTATTATTGATATTATTGTGATTTAGAATGTTTGTCTAATAATAATAATAAATAAATAAATAAGTAAATAAATAGATAATACTAATAATACTAATAAAAGAAAAAACAACAAAAGACTAAAAAAAGACAATAAAAAACAAAAAATTAAATATGGGGTCATTTAGTAACAAACGAGGTACATACAGAATAACCACAAAATTAAGAAAAATTTACAAATTTTTTTTTAGAAAGGGAACTTCCCTAACGAGGGTTTCCGGGCCAGCTTTCGCGCACCGACTAATCCCCCGCTGCAAACATGAGGCTTTGTCTCATGCCCTGGAGTCACTGCAGGCGAACCTCCATGGCCACAAGGGCTGAGTGGTGTCAGGATTTGAACATGGGTCAATAGGTTATCCACCATATCTTCCACATGCCTTACCATGTCACCAAAACCCAAGTGGTTAAAATTTAGCCATTACCTTAATGAATTTTTAAGAGATAGCCACAAAATCGAGTTTTTCCAAAAATAGTCACTGAAATCGCAGGTGGTTATGCCACTTGCGATTTCCTGAGATGGCCTAGGGCCACCTGCGATTTCCTTGCTCTCTGCTCGATTTTGTTTTTTTATGGACTTGTGATTTTCTCCGATGTACTTATAAATTTTTCGAGTGAAAAGTGATTTTGAGCCAGATGGTTGAGATTTTTTATTAAAGTTGGAAGTGTGTGAGGGTTTTATACCAGATTTTGAGGTTTCTATATACTTCCGACCCATGAGTCGAAAATGGACCCAATTCGTAGCTTAATCTAACGAGATAGCCGCTAGGAAGGATGAAATCGCATGTAAGCTTAATTAATCACCTATGATTTCGTTGGCCATTTTCTGAAAATGTTAATTTTAGCTATTTAGTAAAAGTTATTAAGCTTTTAAACTAAATTTTATAAATTACTTTAAATTCTTTTACTTTTACGTTTCTTTTTCTTTAATTATTTTAAACAATGGGTCTATTCTCCATTTCTCATATATCTTTATTTATTGGGTTGTGAGTTGTGACTTGTGGTTTCGTTTTCGCATATTTTTTATCATATCTCTCTCTCTCTCTCTCTCATACACACCAGTGAAAATGGCCGACGCTTAGTTACTGTTGTTGCCGAGGCGATTCTGAAAAAGGTGGCATCCATAGCTGCCAACGAAATCGGCATTGTTTGGGGTTACAAAGAGAAGTTGCACACGCTTGAAGGGACCTTGAAATGATCCGTGCCAAGTTACAGGATGCAGAGAATGAAAAGGTAAAAAACATGGGGTGATGGAGTGGCTGAAACAGCTAAAAGATGTTGTTGGTGAAGCTGATGATGTGATGGATGAGGTTCACTACGAAATGTTGAGGCGTGAGGTAAAGAATCGAGATCAGGTAAGAATAAAGGCACCCTCTCTTCCAAGCTTGAAAAAGTTTTTATTTCGTAGAGAACTGGGTCATAAAATCAAAAACATTAACGAAAAGTTGTCTCAATCAATAAGGATGCAAACGACTTGGGACTAAAAATGAACAGCCTGGCCCTGTTGTTCCATATCGTCCATATCCGGAGACTGTCCCAAATTTAGACGAATTCAAAATGTTGGGAGGGAGGATGAAGAAGAGCGCATCATACACCTATTAACCGAGTCAAGAAAAGAAGAAAAGCTTACGATTGTTCCCATTACGGGAATGGGCGGAATGGGGAAGACCACTCTGGCTAAGTCCGTATACAATAATATAAAAATCCAGCAATATTTTGATGTGAAAGCTGGTTGTGTGTGTCTGTTAAGGTTGACATCAACACACTCTGGCAAAGATCTATGAATCTGTGGCAGGAGAGAAACCTAAGTCTGTTGAAATGGCCAATTTAATTATCTCTCTTGAAGAGAAGTTGGGTTCAAAAAGATATTTGTTAGTTCTGGATGACGTTTGGGATGAAGGGAGATCACACTGGGAAGAATTTAAGAGGCATATGATGATGATAAAGTCACAAATTGGAAGTGGCGTTATTGTCACTACC